ACTTTCAACAAGCGCGCACACACAAGCAAGAACCCACCCACCCACCCACCCACCCACCCACCCACCCACCCACCCACCCACCCACCCACCCACCCACCCACCCACCCACCCACCCGTACGCACACACACGCACACGTTCACTCCAAAACCCCACTGGCCTGAACCCTGAAGACCTGAAGAAAGAAACAGGCCCAAAAACTGTTCTTCTGTCCAAGCCCTGGACCCTGCAACCCTAGACCCCCATATCCAACCCCATTCCTGGATACGGGGGTTTCCGAAAATAGGNNCCCCAATATAGTACCCTAAATAGTGGGCTCCTTACAAGGACCCCAAAATAATGTACGCCTTGTTTTCGGAAACTCCCATTCTCTTGCCAGGTGAATCCTCCGCTGCTCTCACCCCGGCGAGAGTCCGTGGTGCCTATCGGAGCCCCAGAGGCCGGACAGGGTGGCTGAGTCCGTGGCTTCGCTGAAGTCTTTAGACTCAGCCTAAGAGGTTTTGGCCCATAGGGTTGATAACCGAAGATACCATAAAGGCGACATCATGTTATAGGGTAAGTGGGTCATGTCTTTACCCTTATCAGGTTTGCTCATATGATAAACGTGTCTTGACAAGAGGCCCAAGACTCCTTCAAAGGCCCTGAGCAATCACATCCCGCGGGATTTCGGGCTTTAGGGTTGAATTCACATGTTCGTGCTGGCAGAGTCACAGCAGACCAGTTGTAAAAGGGGTTGAGTTCTAGGTTTCGGTTCTCGTCTGAAAGCTTTCTTTCTCTGCGAAGCTTGACAGAGGCGTTCGACGAGATCGGCGTCCAGTGTAGGTCTTGAGAGTTTCGAGCGTGATATGTGAGTTTCAGAAATTAAATTCAGGGGAGGCAATACAGAACACAGACATGATCCCTAATTCTCCAGGTACTTACTATATAGGGCCCCGGGGGCTCTAGTACCCTATATGGTACCTGGGAGGTTAGGGTATCATACTACAAGAAGACCCCCGGAGGCTCCAAGGATTCCAAGGAAGACTCGGGAAGCTTGGCACACTCAAACCTGACTCATGGTGTTGCCGGTTGCTTCTATTTTGGGGGGTTTGTTATTTTTAGTTTAGTATAGTAGAGTATACCCCAAAACCCCATTCTAATTATTAGGGCCCCTACATTCGTTGCTTTTCGGTCAAGAAGGAGTGATCCTCAGAACGGAACCCACGCAAAGTCACCGACATGAGCCCCAGCCGGAGAGGATGCCTCCAACCATCCCCTAAACCCTAAACCCTAAACCCTAAACCCTAAACCCTAAAACCCTAAACCCTAAACCCTAAACCCTAAACCTCGCTCCTCCCTCCCAAAGCTCGCAGGTCCTAATGAGCGACGATGCGGGCCGGGACATGCTTCTGCTGAGACTTGGCGAACCCGGAGTCTCAAGTGAAGGATTAGGTGCAAGAAACGATCCCCTCGCAGAGAGGGAGGCCTTGCTTATCATGATCATACACGATACCTGCGAAGAATTATCTAGAGAGCTGCCTGGGTGGTAATATAACAAAGTCTGCATGATCCCGATGTAGGGCTCTTGAAATAGAGGTCCCTGCCCGGCGAAGCGACCCGGAACTTCCCAGAGTCCAAGAGCTGCCCTTCGTCCCTTTTCCGATGCTTAAAATCCTGAGGCGAATATGAGAGTTTCCGAAAATTAGGGGTACCTTATTTTGGGATCCTTATAATTAGGGTACTATATTAGGGTCCCCTTATTTTCGGAAACCCCCATATAGAGAGGCAACAAATCATCCTTGAAGGCTCTCGCAGCGGCTGTAGCCCGTACGCTTCCTAAACTTTGTCAAGTCTTCAAGCTCGATTTCATTCCATAACCTGTAACTTTCACGGAGAAATCCAAGGAGGAGCGCAGCACCGTATGACGGCTCACAAAGCCAGCTGAACCCTGAAACTGTACGCCGCAAGCTCCCGAAACCAACTCGAAGACATCCTCAGTCTCAGGAATCCTGCCTGGCAGGGTGAGATCTTCAGTGCTGGCCTCCGTGACGCGACTGGTGAATTGGGGCTTATGTCGAAGAAGGAGCTTGGTAGAGCATTCAAGGGTTCGTAGGTTGCAGGATTTGAGGTATGTAGATGTTTTCAGTCGTCAGCTTTTCGAATCCCTGGCACCGGTCGAGCTTCGTGCTCGCAGTGCCGAATTTAGGTCCTGCGGCGCGGCCATCCTCCGCCCATGGTATGTATGGATTTGCAGACATTTGCAGACATTATTGTCAAGCTATCTTCACACGGCAGTTTTGGAATGAGGCCCGGCAGTGTGGCAATCCTTGAGCCAAGGTGAGGATCCGAAGGAAGAAGTCCTAAGACTGAAGCCCGGAAAGAAGCAGTCTCTAGATACCCATCCAGGGCGCTGGCCTTGTGTGCTCGTGTTGAAAGCCCGAGAAGGCTAAGGCCATATAATATGGCATAGATTATTTAAAAAGGCCGTACAAGCAGTTCAATGGAAGCCACCTCCCAAACTTTCTACGGACCCCATCACAGGGTTTTGACGAAGGCCTTGTCGTTGTGTCTTGCGGGGGGCAATGTCACTTGCTTGAGACCTTATTCTTTCCGGTCCTTGCGCAGTCTTGGGATTGAGCCGCAGATGTGGGATTGCCTGGCAAAACCGCACTTGCGTTTCAGGAGTGTCCTTGAAGGTACACCCAAAAACATGAGGGCAACTTCGCCAAACTATCGGCTCAGGTTATGTGAGCCCCCAGCACGACCTGACCATCGATCGCTACATGGAGGCCTTTTACCGGGAGGGAGATGGCTTGATTTCGGATTGCCATCTTCTGCCAAAGGTACCGCGGCTCCTCGTGCTAGATTGACTGCTTTCGCTCTTGAGTGCGTGCACCTCCTGATTGCGTAAATCTTTCAGTTTTACAAACAAGTCAACCCCAAGACCGAGGATGGGAATATGGTGGAGCATGTGCGCTACCCCGAGCGGGGAATTGAGATGCGCCGAATCTTTCGCAAGGGCTGTTAGGATGCAAGGCCGCATCTGAAATTTTAAAAGTTTTCTCGGAATTCCAAGGACCGTCTGGACATGCGTTGCAAGGTGTGACTACGCTTATAAGGTTCCAGGAGCCTAGCACCTGGGTGGTGTGGTTTAGAAGTAAAAAGCGCTTATGGGTGTCAAGCGTTTTGATAGCGCTTCCTGTGGAGAAAGCGTTTCTCAAACGCGTTCTGTTTTTTGGACAGTTTGGGCCGTGCTCATCTGCCCAGAATGTCTCAGCTAGCAATCTAATAACTTAATAGAGTTCCGAGCATTTAAAAAGCAGTCCAATTATGGGCTAGGTCTAATTCGTTCGTTATTTTCCTGTTATGTAAATATCAGCAGCCTAGTAAAATCATCGCCGTTTCACCTCCGGCCTCTACCTCCCTCCTCCCACAACCATTCCCACACTTCCACCGGCAACACGTTCCAAAAATGCTCCCCGCGAACACGCTCCAAAAGCACTCCGAAATCGCTCCATACTCGCGGAAACGCTCAAAAACTGCTCCGAAAACACTCCGCACTCAAAAACGCTCCGAAAACGCTCCGAACACGCTTTGAAGACACTCTACTACTGTAGTATTTGAATAGCAGCTTCATTACATTCCCCATAATGAATTAGCAGCGGAACTAAACTCCCAGTAGTTAAATAGCAGCCGAACAAAATATCTTTATAATATTTATTTAGCAGCTTATTTACATTCCGAACGTGTAAATAGCAGCTTAATTAGATTCCGAATATGTAATTAGCAGGTTAATTACATTCGAGGGTAGTTGGGAGTCGGTTTATAAGTGGGGTTGGCAGGAGGGTTTAGGGGAGGGCCGGTTAAGGGGAAGGGGTTTTGGGGTTCAGGGAGGGTTTAGGGTTTAGGGTTCAGGGTTTAGGGTTTAGGGTTCAGGGTTCAGGGTTTAGGGTGTAGGGGTTAGGGGGTTCAGGGCTTAGAAGTTTAGGAGGTGTTGGGGAAGGGGGCGGGACTGGGACCTTCGACTCCACAATCCACCTTCTACTGAGTCCGTTTTGCGGCCCGCCTAGTGGCGGCAACTGTTGGAAATCTCTTGCTGCCACTCCAACGCTATACTCCTAGTCTCTGCAAACACTTTTCAAGCTACTTCATGCCACTGACATGCCACTGACAATCCGATGGCTAATTACAAAACGCTTCTTCAGAACGCACCTGCCCGAGGAAACTCTCCTACAACGCTTGTTCATGACGCTTCAGAAATGCTTTAGAAATGCTTTTTTTAAATTTACTAAGATTGTGCGTTGGGCTT